TAAAAACAAAACTAAAGAACTAAACAAAAAAAATTTTACTAATTAATCTAGAAGCCCATACAGTAAGAAAAAAATATAGGTTAGATGCTCTGGCCACGTTAACAAAACAAAAGAAAGTATAGAGTGAATCTGTCAACAAAAACGGCAATGACTTAGTTGCCCACCCAATAATTCAACGCCATAAACTATTGAACTGTGTTTGATCCTATTTACACTTAGAAGCAAAGCCCTTTTCACTAAAGCATAGAACAGTCGATATGAAAGAAGCAGCCACTACGAATGCAAACTCCGATCGTAAGTCCCGTTCTAGGATAAAATAATTTTGTACTCAATTGAACTATTGTGAATTTCGCTACAAAAGAAATGAGTAAATGAAATTGCTTTTCCCATGACTTATATTTTCGCAGAAGTATAGTACTGTTAAGAGTATTTCATGCTTTCAAAGAATACCCAGCAGGTCTGTGCTTAATGCAAGTAGTTGTGGACTTCATTCGCACAAGTGCTAGAAGTCCTCCTGACTTATTTTTTTGCTCTCTTGATTAGATGAATCGGTTTCCCCTTTTTCCTGGTCGTCAAGTAAACTAGGAATTTGACGGTCCAAAAGGAAAGTGTAATTACTGAGCTTTAATTTATTTATTGAATTAATTAACCTTTACATTGAATTAGATAAAATAATTGACATTAATTTTAAATCGATTCAGATTATTGGAGTTTCTTATCAATATTTTACAAGTTGATTGTGCTGCAGCGGATTTCTGCGCTAATGAGCCTTGACTAAAGCTCAGTAATCTTTATGGCAGATTCTCCTTGTTTGGAATGGCCCCCAGGGTTGGCTCATCTATCTCGAAGTTATAGCGGATACAGGCGTATTACATTGGACGCGTTTATTTGGGTGATTTTATGTTGGCGGGGGGGGGGGGGCGCATACAGATCGTGTCCTGCCCGTTGGGTTGTCCGACAAATTGTGTTTGATTGTGTGAGAGACTAAATTTACTCCACTTGTAGTGGGGTGTGTGTGTGTGTGTGTGTGTGTGTTTATGGTAGTGTATGCCATTATACCTTGTTAGGTCAAATTGACTTAATGGTTGATTTTGAGCCAAAACGATATCTTAAATATGCAACTCTCCTTCTTCTCCGAATATTTCATTATTTTCCTGTGGTCAACTGCACTTTGAACCTGCAGTTTCTGAATATGACACTCAATTTTCGATACTCAGAACACGTTTTTATCGTCTCTTAAAGGCATAAAAACAGCCAGGTTTAAATATTAGAATTATGGGGTATGCGATAGACTTACCTCAACGTGGTGCACCCTGGGCAATGTATACTCATACAGCAAAAAAGTCTATTAACCAGCAGTCGACTTCTGACTTCACACTACCAAGGCCCCACTGTATGTCATATTCGATCACTTCCACCGTACTTATCCTACCTTTTCTCAGCCTTTGTGTCTGTCTGTCTCTTTTTATCTTTAAATCTCTCTTCTGCTTCCCCTCTCCACTTTCTCGCACTTTGATATACTTCCTCCCCTCTGTGAAGCCTGAAGTCAGCTAAAGGGCAAAGATAGGTATCATAAAGCCCACCATTTTAAATACATAAACAAATAAATATTAGAATTATGAATATAAACAACCTCTAGTAGTGCTAACAATTTACTCCCAATCATGAGCCGAAAGTTGTATTCCTTTACACGCCTGGTGACTTCTCTCGCGCCCTGACGACACAAGTCGTCCCCATTTTAACTGTTTCACAACCGTGACTACGCTCCCCTCCTCTCATTCTGATATGGCCCTGTCAACTATGTCCAGCTCTCATTTTTTCGACTTATTAAAAAAATGATTAGCACTAATGCACGCAGGAAAAAAATGCACAGGCCTACGCAATTATGGAAAGAATTTGTCTCAATCCATGAAACTGCTATTATTGATCGTTTAATAACAAAGTCTCCACTAATAATATTTTAAAAATATCTCTCTTACTACTATCCAGTTTCTCCTCATTTTCTCAACGATCGAATTTATTATAGTCAGACTTTAGCTGAGCATTCTCCACCCAAATAAAGAGGGCAGTTATGGGCGTGAGGCAAGTCCAAAGCCCACACATATTGCAAGGTGTTCCTGGTAAAAACGCCAAATGCATAAACATATCACTACGAAAGCAATTAATACATGAATTCGCGAATTAGAAGAATCGCAGACTTTAACGTGGAAACAATATTCGACAATGCTAATTTATTTAAATTTAGTCACGTCAACTGCACCCATTTAGTTTATCGAATACCCCAAAACGACATTTTCCACCTAATTCTTGCATATATCACTACCTGCAAGATTGAACAAGTCCAGAACAATGTCCAGTATTGATCATGCAAATAAGAGTAATTCTGAGATTGTTTCAGACGGAGATCGCGAGGTTGCACAAGCTATCACATCCCTGTCATATTATAAACTTCAGCCGACGTAGACTAGGCGAAGTCATTTTCCATTCTCGGCCATAGAAAAGATGCATTGAATTGAAATATCACGATCAACGCTATCAGATTAAAGAAGCGGTTGATAATGGAAATCAAGCATATCTGCAAACCAGGAAACGAATATATATATGTATGTGTGTGTGTGTTAAGTTGCAGTAGAAGACATAACTAAATCTGATATAAGTAGCATTGAACCCAACATAGTTCACACCGCCTTTAGAGTGATTGGCTGGAGCTTTCCTATTGCATATATATATATATATATATATATATATATATACNAAATGGCACCAAAACTAAATTACCTGATGCTCCCAGTCCTACGGAGGCGAATTTGGCTGAGTTGAGCCCCTGGTATTTAGAATCACCACGTTCTCTAAGCACTATCCAGAGATATGCGAATTACCAAGCATCTTCGTTCAAGGTCGCTGTGAAGGATGAGAAGCAAGGTGAAAAGTAAGTTGGATGTTCTTTTTTCTTAACTACGTTCTTGATTCATATCTGATAGTAATCGAATAGTTAAGGAGGGCCTTATTGATGTTCTGAGTCATTTAATATTCTATTAGATCTACTGCTTCTAGGATGTTACCAAATTTAAAATCTGAGATGGTTCAACGCTAAAAAACAATTGTTCAATTACTAGCACCATTGTATTCCAAAGAATGAAGACTAAAACCTTCCTGAATACTTCCATTCAAGTAGGGTGAAATAAGGACTGTGCTTTGGAGACCTACTGTCCATAGATTTAAATCTAAACAAAGGAGAGTTTCTTGAACGCACTGTGTTCTAGATTTAAGACTGGAAACAAAGTTCTTGTCAAATCAGTAGATGGACAAAAATGTGTTGTTACACTTATAATTTCTTGAGCGGAATCAGATTCTTGTATTCAATTACTAATTTGAATGAATCTAGGGGTCTTTCTCAAGCAGATTTTGACAAGGAGTGCGAAGATAGAAATTGAGGGTCACTGTACAATTCAATTTGCTACTGACATCATTTTATCTTCAAGTTCCACATGATTTGGGTGTTTAAGAGTTTCGCATAGTTGAAACTCACCCTCAAAGGTACCTGGATGAAAGCCACTGACTTCCAATCGTCCCTATTTTAGCAGGTCCACATTTCAAACACTAGTAGATGAATTAGCACATTCAAAATCAACTAACCTCTGCATTACAGAACTGTCAGTTACCATAGGTTCCGATTCCCAACTCTCAACATTTCACAATGATTTATTATCAATGCCATCTAAGATACATATTCTAACAATGAAAATACATGTAAAATGTTACGAGCTAGCAGAATTTATGATTACCGAGATTGTCAGAGTTAAAACAATAGTTAAATCGATTATTACTCGCTCATGTTCGTACCCTGTAAATCCTTTTGCCTTGTTGACTAACTACGCAACCTCCACATGAATAGAAATTGGATATAGAAAGAATTATTCGATTTACCTATCATTTCTTTCCTTCTGAAACAAGTCAGCCACTTTGGATAATGGCAATATGTGGTGAAGGCTATTTCTCACTTGAGATAATGTTATAATTTAATTGAATTTTTTGGATAATCGATTTGATTTTTTTGCATGGTGAACTGTTCTTAATATAAGCATTGGCATTCCTTTCAATTAAACACATATTCGTTATATGGTGTTCTGAAATCCTTCCTTTTAAATCCTTTGCTAATACGCTCTTCTATTATTTAGTCTAATTTATTTTCTGCTTTCAGTTTCGGTTCGAAGTTGCCTTCAGGCGGTAAATCAAGCACTTCTCCAGCAACACAACGTAACAAGATCCGATTTGCAACTATCTACGACCTTTCCAATGAGGCCAAATGGCTCTCTCAACTCTGGGAACTCAATCGACTCCCCTCTTTCTTCAAGGTCACCTCTGCTGGTAATATGCTCGCCCACTTAGGCTATCCCCTCATTGGAGTGAACACGATCCAGCTAAATATGAAGGCAAGTCGTTGAATATATTTAATAAAAGAAGATAAAATTTAATTTATTGCAGGGATATGATTTGGTGAAGTCGGTCCATAAAGCGCCATCCTTTCCTGATCCAAGATTTTGGCAAAGTAGTGATTGGTGTTAGGATTTATTTATATCAAATGGCAGGCGTTATGATAGTTATCATTAGCCCTTTAGTTGACGTCAGGCTTCACAGAGGGAAAGGAAAATCGAAGTGAAAAAAGTCGGGAGGNATATATATATATATATATATATATGGGAAAATAGCCCCCAAATGCCAAAATGACTGGCATAATTAAATCCGATACTCAAGCCAAGGCTTTGGCATTTAATTGAACTAGGTTGCCATTCTGAGCAAGTTCAACTCAAATCGATTTCGAAGGACTTGCGACTAAAGCCAGTCCTTAAACTCTCGACTTTTCGGCCTATTCCTCATTTTATAACTCAATATATTGACATAAGTTATTTTCATTTCCCGATTCGGATAATTAATTCATTTGAACAACTTAATTTGAGAGTTCCTGAAAATTTCGCTTTTTGTGTTAAATGATATTGCATTAAGACTTACTTATATTTTAAGAAGTTATAAATTATGTTAAAAAGGGGTGTGCGATAGATTTACCTCCACGTGGTGCACCCTGGGCAAAGCATACTCATACGGCAACAAAGTCTGTTACCTGGCAGTTGACTTCAAACTACCATGACCCAACTGTATGTCATATTCGACTACTTTCACAATACTCATCCCACCTTATCTACCTTCGGCTTTGATACACTCTTCTGTCCCCCCCCCCCTCTTAAATTTTTTACACTTTGATGTTCATCCCCCCCTGTGAAAACTGAAATCAACTAAAGGGCTAATGATAACAATCAAAACGCCTGCCAGTTGATATAATGATAATAATATTTATAACTATCTAGATGATCAAAAGTATTTATATCAAATAGCAGGCGTTTTGATAGTTATCATTAACCCTTTAGTTGACTTCAGGCTTCACTGAAGAGAAGGAACAACAAAGTGGAAAAAAGTCGAGAATGGGGGGGGGAACAAAAGAGTTTTTTCAAATACGAAGGTAGAAAAAAGGTGAAGTGAGTACTGTGGAAGTAGTCGAATATGACATACAGTGGAGTGATGGTAGTTTGAAGTCAGAAGTCAACTGCCAGTTAATAGACTTTTTCGCCATATGAGTATACGTTGCCCAGGGTGCACCACGTGGAGGTAAGTCTATCGCACACCCCAGATGTTCAAAAGTAATGAGTGTTTTGTGGCATTTCTTGATTGGTGATTGCTGTTGATTTCTGGATAGCTTCTCCTTTTGCTTCACAGATTCTTTGGTAAATGATTGGTTTAGTACTGATTGACACAAGCTCACTATGACATTAGTATTAATACAGATACTAAGATGATACCTGCTACGAAGTAAGTTATCCTCTGTAGGTTTAGCCTTTAAACTCACAAAATCTAAAATAAGGTAATTGGNCTAGCGTTAATGTATCCATGCCCGAATATGAATGAGATAACTGCATATGCATATTTAATTGTGAGTGTGCGATAGACCTACCTCCACGTGGTGCACTCTGGGCAACGTATACTCATACGACGAAAAAGTCAATAAACCGGCAGTTGACTTCTGATTTTAAACTACCATCACCCTACTGTATGTCATATTCGACACTTTCACAGTACTCATCTTACCTTTTCTCTGTCTTTGTGTGACTGTCTGTCTCTTTTACATCCGTGAATCATTAGTCTGTCCCCCCTCTCGACTTTTTGTCACTTTGGTGTTCCTCCTCCTCCTCTCTGTGATGCCCGAAGTCAACTAAAGGGCCAATGATAACTATCTAAACGCCTGCCATNGGGAAGAGAAGAGTGTTTTAAAGATGTAAAAGAAACAGACACAAAGGTAGAAAAAAGGTGAGGTGATTACTGTGGAAGTAGTGGAATATGACATAGAGTGGGATGATGGTAGTTTGAAGTGAGAAGTCAACTGCCAGTTAATAGACTTTTTTGCCGTATGAGCATACGTCGCCCATTGGGCACCACGTGGAGGTAAGTCTATCGCGCACCCCGGTGTTAGGATTCGTATTTAAGTCTTTCCTCGGGGAATTCCAAACTCTTTACATCTATTGAGAACTTTCTTATTTATCGGGACGTCGACTTTATCACAATCCATTGCTAGCTGTAACAGCTTTGTTAAAGGAATGGGGCTTTAAAGTGTTTCAGGAGATAAGTCCCGTTTATCCCCTTTAAATGTACTTTCTTGTAATAAGCAATTTTGAATTTGATATAACAGTGGATTGAACATTCAGGGTTATACGAGAAGTTCTTCCAACTTATTTGAATAACTGGGATACTCACTTGCGTATTGAGTATCGAAGACTTTTTACAGAGACTGGATAATTACCTTATAGTTAGCTTTTATGGCCACTAAGTTGGTGCATATCCGTTACTTATAGCTTATCCCTCTTTGTATTGGTTTGAAATGACTGGATTTTGATTTGACAGTTTCCCCTGTTATGGCGTGGAGCATTCAGGACTATGTTCCATCTAGGATCCAAATTTGGATTGTCATGTATTGTTTTTGATTGTGCCACGTTAAAAATGTGGGTTCTCATCTAATCGTCAAAAGCAGACTACGTCAAGCTGAATTATTACTTGTGTGGATGATCGGTCTGTAATAACGTTGTTCTTGTCTCCGTTTTTAGTGTTGAGTAATACAATGCTCCTCTTTTACACTGAGAAGTTAGGCGATAAGCGTTCATCGTTTCACATCTAGTGGCTTGGACGACCAGCCACACTGGCCAATTCTATTGAACAGACTGGTTGGTAGAATTCAAATTTCTCATTTGAGTAACCTCGAAATAGCTACTCCGCACCCAAATATTGTTGAGGCTTTCCTCAGTGAGCCTGTGATGTTTTAGTTATCATAGCATGTAGGATTAGTAGCTATTTTGTTACTCACAATATGAAATATCAATGCGTATTTGTTTCTTGTGAACCGCTCTTTTTATGATTCATTTAGTTGCATATTTATTATCATGATTTTCTTTGCAGATTCCAAATGCCCGAATAACTGGTCACCAAGAGGGCAACAATATGTGTGCAGTGAATATTAACGTTGGCCCTGGAGATTGCGAATGGTTTGCCGTTCCTGAACAGTACTGGGGTTCCATTCACCGTCTCACTGAACACCAAGGTCTCGATTTCCTGACCAGCTCCTGGTGGCCTGACGTAGAGGAATTGCGACAAGAGGGCATCCCCGTGTATCGCTTTCTCCAAAAACCCGGTGATCTCGTGTGGCTCAACGCGGGCACGGTCTTCTGGGGTCAGGCACTAGGATGGTGCAACAATATTGTATGGAATATTGGAACTATGACGCCGAGGCAATACCAACTGGCAGTGGAGAGGTTTGAGTATAATCGATTGAGAAATGTAAAATCGGCAGTGCCTATGATTCACCTCTCTTGGCAGTTGGCGAAGAATGTTAGGGGTTGCGATGAACAGCTGTGTGCTCTCATAAAGTAAGTTTAAAACTGGGGTATATAGTATTGGACCTAAAATGTCTATTTATAATGTCGTTATAATGTAAATTTTTAAGTCCATTTAGAAAAACGTTTTCCAACAACTCATCTTGGTCTAATGCTTTCATTCGTACATTTCCGCAGGGATTAATAATGTTTCTGCTTAATAATAAAGATAGTGTATACATGATGTCATTTGGAAAAGTGGATGCTCATCTATGTGGTTATAGTTTGTGGTACTAGTATGAGTATTCGGCTTACTGCTCAGATCAGTCGACTTTGCGCTGTTTCACCTGTTCATTGTGGTTGGCATTCTGTGATATATATCATCCGAAGATTTGGAAGTTAAAATCCTCTTGTTGATTGCTAAGTCTCTGGAACATGATTGACAATTTGCTCAACTTTCTTTTGGCTTGGGTAATGCCCTTGTCTGCCCATAGATTTCTGGTCGACCTAATTTTCCAACCAGTCTATGCTTATCTTCCTTTTACTTATCTTCAGCAAAGTGAATATTTCTTTCATTATTTTATCGCTAGAAACATTTAAATGCCATTTCAGGCAAAGGTTCTATTAGGTTGGCAACTAAGTCATTGCCGATTTCAAATAAGAACGCAAATTCGGAATTTTTGTTTAAAAATATAACTTTACTCCATTAGATATTGGCCGTTCTTGTCGACGACCTTTTTCCATCGTTCTGGCAGAGTAAAAATTCCCCGTTCGTAAAATGTCTGGTCTTTGCTATTAAAAAACTGAATTAGGTGTGATCCGACATCATCCGCGTTGTTAAAAATTTGACCATTTAAAGAGTTTTGCATGGAACGAAACAAATGGTAATCCGAAGGCGCAAGGTGAGGGCTATATGATGGGTGTGACAAAACATCCCAACCCAGTTGCAATAATTTTTGCCGAGTAACCAAAGATGTGTGGGGCCTTGCGTTATCATNAAGATGAGTACTGTGAAATGGGTTGAATATGGCTTACAGTGGGGGTAGTTTGAAGTCAGAAGTCAACTGCCGGTTAATAGACTTTTTTGCCGTATGAGTATACGTTGCCCAGGGTGCACCACGTGGAGGAAAGTCTATCGCACACCCCGTAAATAAATATTTAATCGTTTAAGTTCTGCTACCAAGGCTTGAACTCATTTTGGGGAGTGGCCCACATTTTTTAGATCTTTCGAATGCCATTTAAGTTGGTACCTTCGTTAGGAATGAAGATTTTGCAAAATAAAAATTAATGATGATGATGAAGTAAATTGGATGAATAAGGTTGTGGGGGGGGGGTGTGTGTGAATAGAGGGAATTCCATTCAATTCTATTTATTTTATAATAAGTTAGCTCAAAATTTCGTCTATAATAAAGGCGCCCTTTTACTATTTTATTATTTTCTGTAATTGCAAAATTTTACGTCCGTTTTACAATTTAATTTCGACGTGTGTGTATGTGTGTGTATTTTATGGAACTTAATAAAAAAAGGAGGTAAATACAATTTTAAAATTATATTATAAAACACGCGGTGCAGAGGGAGGGAGGGAGGGAGGGGGAGAGAGATCAAAGATCAAAGATGGTGCCACCTGCTATCTCAAGGAAATAAAGACGAAAGCGCCATCAAGTAGTATAATTTTATAATCAAATAAATCGGTGATTGCCTCGACATGATTGTGTCTCCTTCGCTCTCCCTCTCTCCCCCCCCCCTCTCCCCATCTCTTAATGATAATGGGTCAACAATCATTTTCTTCTCGTGGGGATATAAATGCTCCCCATCTTTCCACTTCTCTCTGCACCTTGATATTGCAGTGCGATATCCACTTTATAAGGGCCAATATTGTCGCCTGATTGAATACACTTCAATAAAAGAGAGGGCTTAGTGGGTAATGGAAAATGTGTACGACAAGGGTGTTTAGTCTAGATCCCAGCTCCTTCCAATCAGATAAAGATAATACTGGGCTGATGTCGAATAGGTGGGAAAAAAATAAATCTCGTTATTTTTTTATTATTTTAAAGTATATATTAATATGTCAAATGGCAGACGTTCTGGTAGTTACCATAAGCCCTTTAGTTGACTTCAGGCTTCACAGAGGGGAGGAGGAACATCAAAGTGGAAAAAAATCGAGAGGGGGGGGGAACAGAAGAGTGCTTCAAAGACGAAGATAGAAAAAAAGGTGAGGTGAGTACTGTGGAAGAGGTCGAATATGACATACAGTGGGGGTGATGGTAGTTTGAAGTCAGAAGTCAACTGCCAGTTAATAGACTTTTTTGCCGTATGAGTATAAGTTGACCAGGGTGCACCACGTGGAGGTAAGTCTATCGCACACCCCTTTTCTATATAAATATATGGAAATGTGCGATAGACTTACCTTCACGTGATGCAGCCTGGGCAACGTATATTCATACTGCGAAAAAGGACTAATGATAAATATCATAAAGCCTGCCATTTGATATAACTAAATATTTACAGAATGAATGTAGATTAGAGTGGTTGTGTTGGTCCTAAATAGTCTCATAGGCCTCTTTATAATTTTTCTGACAAAGTGGAAGTCTCACTTAGCGAGCAAAATGGAATCTGTTGAAGAGAACAATAGGACCACCCTGATGATATCACCGATGAATTGTTATGTAAAATGTATATATATAAACAACTTCACCTTCAAGCCATTTTATTTTAAATCTGTCCGCTGATCTCTACTAATTTTAGCCGATCAAAAGCTAGTGGTGCGGTATACGAGTCCATCTGATAGAGAAATTTGTAATCTGTATTGCCACCACTGTGTGTTGGTGCAAAAAATGGTAAACTTGATCTCGTAATTTCTTTATAATTGAAAATTTCACTCGATTCATTTTCTCTTATGCAAGCCTATTTATTTTGATTATTTATTTATTTTTTTTGATTTCCCATTCTGCATTTAAATTGAAACTTAACACCCCCCCTCCACCCGCCTGTCAGTCATTTGTCATCAGATTTAAACAAGCCACGCTTTAATTTCGAGTAATATGTTGAATTTAAAGATCAATAAGGTGCTTTGAGGCAAATTCTGTAATTGCTTTCCAATCTCATTATTTCCATCCAACCCCCACGTGTGTGTGCTAATCTACTTTCAAATGAATGCCTTCAAGCAAGCAATTAAATGACAGTCTCTCCATAATTAACGAACAAAGTTATGAACATGGCTTTATTTTACAATTTGAGGGGTGTGCGATAGATCTACCTCCACGTGGTGCAGCCTGGGTAACGTATATTCATACGGCAAAAAGGTCTATTGACCGGCAGTTGACATCTGACTTCAAACTACCATGAGCTGACTCCATGTCATATTCGACTATTTCACAGTACTCACCTCACCTTTTTCCTACCTTTGTGTCCCCCCCCCCTTCCTCTCGACTTTTTCCCTTCGATATTCCTTCCTCTCTGTGAAGCCTGAAGTCAACTAAAGGGCTAATGATAACAATCAAGACGCCTGCCATTTGATATAAATAAATAAAGTTTTGCATATTTCGTATTTCATAAGATATTACTAATTTTCGGCTTGGATTTTAGCGCGACTTAGTAGTTTAGGAGGGATAAATCAAATTGTATAATTTAATCAGTAA